AAATAATTAATAAAATATATATAAACTTAAATATATTTATTTATTAAATATATAAAATTATAAGTTTATTAATTAAATTTTTAAAGGTATATATAACATAAATAAAATAAATTAATAAAAAAGATTTACCTTATTTAATTTATTATATTTTATTATTTAATAAATAATTAATAATAAATAAAAAAAACGTATAATTATTAATTTAAAATCTTTAAATAAAAACATATTAATAAATATATATTTATTATTAAAACTTAAAAAAATCATTTAAAAAATATAAGGAAAGAAATATTTTAATATTATTAATAAAACAAGGTTTTTTTATTAATTATTAATGGTTAAGTAATATTATAATAAAATAATTATTATATTATTAAAAGGTTTAAAAATATTTAATATTATATTAATAAAGTTTAAAAATTTTCCGGTTTATACGTAAAAATTTATAAACTATAAATTAAAACTTTTTAAACATTTTTATATAATATATATTAATAATATAATTATATTTAATAATTTAAAAAAAAAATATAAATAACATTTATAATAATTATTTATAATATATTAATAAATTAACTTTATTTTAACCCTTATAAAATCTTTTTTTAAATTTAAATTTATTATTTTATTCGGATTTATAATTAATAAAAAGGAAATAATTATTATAATTAAAAAAATATTTATAACATTTATAAATTTTAAAATATATATAAATATAATAAGGTTTTTATAAAAATATATTTTATATTATTAATAAAAAATAAAACCTTTATAAAATAAAAAAATAATATTATTAATATAAAAAAAAAGTAAAAAAAAAATACCAACATCGTTATACGAATAAAAATTATACACAAAAAAAAATATTATTTAAATTAACGTTAATTAAAAAAACTGTTTTTAAAATTTTATAAGTTTAATTATTATAACCATTTAATTTAACTTATTAAAATTTTAATAAACGTATATTTTTAAAAATAAATATATTAAAATAATAAGGTTTTAAAATAATAATATTTTATTTAAACGATAAATAAAATAAAAGTAATATTTTTATTTTTAAAATTTATTTTATTAGTTTTTATTCGAAAGTTTTTATAAAGGTAAAAAAAAAATATAACATTATAAAACTTAAAATAACATGTTTAATATAATTATATTACTTTATATAAATTTAATTATAATTTTATATAAAAGTTACGATTATATTAATAAATTATAAATTAATAAAAAACATTATTAATTAAAAAATATTTAAAATAATAAATATTAATAAGTTTAATATAAAACTTATTATTATGTTTATATTTTTATTATAATTTAATTTAAAAATATGGTATATAATTAAAAAAATAAATTTAATTTTTAATATTTTATTTTAATTATTAACTTAAAACGATTTATAATATAAAAAAAATAAGGAAAATTTTATTTTTAAAAATATTATAAATAATATTATAATAAATAATATATATATTATAATAAAAATTAAAATAAAAGATAAGTTTAAGAAAAGGATTATTAAAAGTTATAAAAAAAATAAGAAAATAAAGAAATTAAAAAATTTATTAATAAAAGATATAAAAAACGAAAAAAAGAAATAAATTTAATATAAATTAAAAAATGGTTTATTTTATTATGTGAATCCGGAAAAGAAATATAAGTTATTAATTTTATTAAATTATATAAAAAATATATTATAAATAATATATAACGATAAATATTATTTTAATATAAAAAATGTTATATAAATTTAAAAATATATAAATATAAAATATAATAAAAAAAAATATAAAAATATATTTAATGGTATTTAAATTATTATAAAAATTAAATTAATTAAAATAAGCTTTATAACGAAATATAATTAATAAATTCATTAATAATTTTATATAATATAATTATTTAAGATTTTATTATAACTTTTTTTAAAGTTTCGAATAAAAGTTTACTTTTTACTTTAAACGGATATATATATTTTAACGCTTTATTTATAATTATATGTAAATATTTAAAAAAAGTTATTTTATTATTAAAAAATATTATGTATAATATAAAAAAATAAATTAAATTATTATTATATATTTTAATATTATATAATTAAGAAATATTAACGAAAATAATTTTAAATTAAAATTTAAAATTTATATTTAAGATATGGTAATTTTTATTTATTTATATAAAAATATTATTAATAATAAATATAAGTTATTATTTTTAAATTAATAAATAAAATAAATAAAAGAATTAAAAAATTAAGTTAATTATTTATTATTATTATATTATATTAAATATATTATAAGTTTTATTATTTTTTTTTTTAATATAATATAAATAATATTTTATTATTAATATTAGGAAAATTATTTAATAAAGTAATATTAAGTTTTAAATTTAAAATTATATTAAATAATATTAAAGTATTAATAAATATATTAAATTATAAAATATTATATAAATAATATTAAAAAAAAATTAAAATTATAATGGATTTTATATTAATAAATGTAAAATTATATTATAACTTTAAATATTAATTAATATTTTTTTATATTAATAAAAATATATATTTATAATTTTATAAGGGATATAAGTTATTAAATATAAAAAATTAAAAGTATAATATTTAATATATTAATTTATTATTAATTATAAAAAAAATTAAATTATTAATATATAAATTAAATATAATAAATTCATAAAAGATTTATAAGGTTATTTTAATTATATATTTTTATAAATTATTTAAAGGTTTAAATTTATATAAAAAATAAAAACTTTAACCGGGTTATATTATTATTAAAAATAATAATAATGAATAAAAATTATATAAAATTAAAAAGTTAATAAATTATAAAATAAATAAATAAAAAGGAAAATTAATATTAAAATATTTAATTAAATGAAAAAAATATATAATAATAAATAATTTATAATATTTAAAAAAACTTTTATTATAAAACGTTGTAAAGTTATTTAACATTTATAATTATAATTATTTAATAATAATTAAAGATTTAAAAATAAAATATAATTTAAAAAAAAAACCACCATTAACCTTTAAAAATAACACCGTTATTATTATATTCACAACTTAAATTATAATAACATTTATTCCCCCCGTACTAACTTTAATAACATTAATATAATTAAAAATTATAATATTATTAAAAATAAATATATACATTTTTTTTAAAATATATAAAAAATATAAAAAAAATTAATAAAAATATTAATATTTTTTACCGCATTAATAATAATTATTAAATTTCTTAATTATATATACTTAAAAAAAGAAATTATTATAATTTATAATTAACATATATAAAATTTTTTAAAATTTTTTAAATTTTATTAAAACTTAAAATAATTAACCATTTATTTACTTTCATTTTATTTTATTAACGTTCTTAATAATATTTTTTTATTTAAATATAAACTTTAATTATTAAATAAAATTATAATTATTTAAAAAATATACGAAATAATAAATAATTTAATAATGAAAATATTAATATATATATATTTTATTTACGGAATATTTTTAATATTAACGGAAAATAATTATTAATTATTAAAAATAATAAACGAAATTAAATATATTATAAAAGGTTTTATATTAAACTTAAATTCTTTTATATATATTTTAAATGAAAATATTATATTAATAATTTAATTATTTTTAATTATTTTTATATTTTTAAAAATAATAATAAATATTTAAATAAATAAATTAAAAGAAAAAATTTTATTATTATTTTTTAAATAAATAAATATATATAATTATAAAAATTTTTTTATATATATTAATTATATATTAACATTTATATTTATTATAATAAAATTTAAAGTTTAAAAATAAATATTAATAAAAATATTTTTTAATTTAATAAATAAATAAATTTCGAAAAAAAATATTAATTTTATAATTATATACGTATAATTGTTAAAAATTATTTCTTTTAATAAATTTTTTTTTTTATTTATTAATTTAATTTATTAATTAAAATTATAATTATTAAATAAAAAAAAAAAAATTTTAATCGATTATTTATATTAAAAAAATTAATAATAAAAAATTATAAAAATATAATAAATTATATATAATATTTTTTTAAATAAATTAAAATTTTATATTTAATTTAATTATTTTAATTTAAAAATTAATTAATTATTAAGTTTTTAATTTAATTTATATTAAAAAATAAATTTAAGAATTAATTAAATAAATATTTTAAATAAATTTTTTAAATGTGGTTTATACGTAAAATTTATTTTTTATCGTTATTTTAAAAATTTAAATTTTATTTAAAATTTATTATTTATAAACGGATTATTTTAAAAATTATTTATATTATATTTAATTAATTATAAAACTTTAATAATTAAATTTTTAAATTATTTTTTTATTTTTATATTTAATTAATAATTATATTATTTTAAATTTATTAATATTATAATAATTTAATTAATTATATATAATAAAATTTAATTTAAAACGTTTTAAATTAATTATTAAATTATTTAAACTTAAAAAAAAAAAGATTTATAAAAAAATACGTAATACCGTAAAAATTAAAATAACTTTAAATAAAACGCACGGGTTATCCTTATTAATTATTAAAAATATAATTTTATAAAAATTAAACTACACTTATAAATTAAACCACATTAAAAAGGTACGAACCGTTATAAATATTATATAATTTTAAAACTAAATTTTAAAAAATTATTACGATAAAAAATTTTTAATAAGGAATTTTATTAAGAACTTAAAAGTTTAAATCTATAATATCCCTTTATAAACTTAAGGTACAAGTTCAATTAAACCATAGGTTCAACAGCTGTTCAACTAGACTGCAGGTTGAACTATAAATCAACTACGGTCTAATCGCAGGTCAATCGCAGGTCAATCGTAGTTGCACAGGTCAATTGAACCGACAGGCAGGTTGAATACAGGTTCAACTGCAGTTCAATTAGATTCCAAGGACAACTGCAAATTACACAACAAATCAATCGCAGGTCGATTGTAGGTCAATTGGACTACATGGTAATATTTACTGGTTACTATGCAAGTATTCTGCCGCCTGCTGTCGAACTTCCAAGACAATCTTCAAATGTTCCATCTTCAACTTCTCTCCTTCACTGTTGGCTAACATAAGAGCCGTTTTGACCGTGTTCTTGATTTGACGGCCGTTCAGCTTTTGTTGACTGAGCTCGTCGAAATCAGCGCCGCTAAGCTCATGGCTCCCATCAATTAGCAGGTTGGCCAAATTGGTCCAGACCTGGCGTCGTGCTGCCTGATCTAATTCATCGTAAGGGAGGATGAGATCGATCCTAGACTCAAATGCCGCATCAATCGTCGATACTCGGTTTGTTGTTAGGAACAGAATTCCTTTGTAGTATTCGAGCAGGCGAAGGAATACTAATACAAGAATAAGATTTACCACTTGCCGACTGGAATCGGATCCTTACGTACCTGAAACAAGTCCATTGCGTTCTAAGTTGTCTGTCTTACGAGCTTCGAGGAAGACATCAGCTTCGTCAATAAGCATGACTGCCTTCCAAAGTGAGCACATGTCCAAGGCTTTTTTCAGAGAACCTTCAACGCTGCTTGCTTCGGTACCCAGATCACCGGCACTAAGAGTATATAAGGGAGCTCGAGTCCGCTCCGCCACTGTATATCTTCGTCAGCAACTTCTTCTCATCGTGATGTAGCTTTTATACCTGACTCTGCTGTTAGAGTTTTTCCTATTCCTGGAGGTCCGCAGAGGAGGATAATGAAACTTTTCCCTATAATCTTGTTAAAAGCGATGACAAAAAAGGTATTTTCATCAACCTAGATCTTGGAGAGTTACCTTTCCGGGCAATGAAGTCATCAAACTCCGTATTTTCAATTTGCTTTTGCTTCGCAAAAGCTAAGATCAGTCGCTTTCGATTGTCCTGTATGGCGAGGTGATTGAACGCCTCGTCATTCCACGTAATACTTTCGAGACAATCGACTTGTATATCGTCTTGGAAATATCAGCAATTGCTCATAATCTAACCAGCGTTTACTCACGCCACTTTTTCTCCTGCACATCGAAGCCCTTCATCGTAGGTACGCAGAGGAAGCATTCATCATCCGTAAGCGGCGTAAGATCTTCGTTGCGTTCGCTTTGAGTTGGTGAAGCCCTCGTTATATGGGAAGGTAAGTCAGACAGCCCCCGTGTTCCAACTTCAACATGATCCTCAGAATCTGAACTGTCTTCGTCGGTTGGTGACTGGCCGCTCAGCTTTGTATATGTGGGAACATGGCCTGTCTCGAATTTATGATAGGCGTAATTATCAATTATAACTCTCTGTAGTGCCAATGCCGCTGGTTAGTAGGTAGCAAAGATAGGAAAAAGTGATAGTAATGATTTCTCACTCGGGTCACATTGAAATCCTCCCTGGTCCTAAAAAAGCATCCTCTGAGACTCTGGAATTTCTGGCCCCTTTTGACTAATCTCTCTTTGACCTTTTTGGGGTCGGGCTCGTAAGAAAGTGGATGAATCTCGAGATCAACCACCTTCTTAGATCCGTCGTACTTTCGGATCATGTAAGCCTCTCTTTTATAGCCACTGTAGGAACCGTTCCAATCTACCACTTTGACCGTCACTTTGTAATAGGGTGGGTGATTCCAGCTCTCTGGGATTACTTCGACTTCAAGGATCTTGGCGGCCGACCATTCGTCATTGTCTTTGTAAATTGCTATATCGCCAGGTCGGTATATTGCCCACAAGTGATCCCATTTCATGAGGCCGGTGGCTTCGGATTCATTCACGGCATACTGTAGAGGATGCCATATTACTTTCAACATTTGGAGCAAGAGTTTGGCTTTTTCTTTTGTTTCGTCATCACTTTCGTTTTCGCAGAGCTTAACGTAGCGCTCCATCCGATGGAACAGTCCTATGAGGTCAGGGTCCAGTCTTCCCACAATATCGGGATGTAAAGTCGTTCTGGTCTGGCCGATGCCGGCTTCGGGGTAATTCTCCAAGACCCGCGAAAGGAAACCACAAAGCTTAGAGCCATTGATATCGACTTTGGAAGTGAACCATCCTCCTTTTCCATCGTCGCGATTCATGTACTGCACAACAGCATAGTCAGCGTAGGTACTTTCGACGGGAACCAAGCCGCCAGTTAAGGGTGTCGCTTCATCAGCGGGAGCTTCTTCCCATTCAGACCCATTCCGGAACAACAACTTAATTTTAGACCTTGCGCCTATGTTTAAGTCTTGACCCGTATTCCATGTAATGCTTGCTTCGCTTATAGAATCTGTTTCTCTGTCCTCCTCTGCGTTGGGTTGGGAAACGTGAAGTGGACTTTCTGAACGGTCTTGTAACGTGGACGTTAGAGGTTTATCCTTATTGTGCGGGTTGAAAATGTTGATAGGCACGTTGAACTCGTCAATTCTTGAATCAATAAGGGCAGATGTGAACCGCTCATCGTTGTGATCCGCGCCGTTCTCAGAAAGAAGCCTGACGATTGACCTATAACCCTTTACTATCGCTATTGATAGCGGCGTTCCAAGCCGCTTGTCGTACGCGTTGACATCGTAGCCTTCTTCAAGAAGGGACCGGGTCAACTCTTCGTTACCAAACAAAACTGCAATATGTAGGGATGCCATGGCGATTGTACTGCAATATTGCTTCAATTAATTTGAGAAGAGAGAAGGGGTTTCGACTCTGGAACCTGTGTTCTTTGCATGGCCTGTTGAACTAGGTCCTGCGTCGGAACCTAACTCCGACAGTTTCATGCCTATCTTACATACATACAGGTCATAGGTCGTGTTGAAAAGCCGAAGCCGACCTACAGTTTTGTTGGCACCAATTACTGTCTTGCGTAAACGGCGATCTATGATTGACGCTACTAATTTTCAGCTGTGGCGCAGACCGTTGATGCCTGACCAAGCTTCGGTGTGCCTAGGACAATCTTACGTGGACGTCCCAAGAAATCATAATGGAATCGCCTGCGATAAATGCGTGTTTCGCTATTATGTACTCATCACACAGAACACCTACGACCGAATTCATCAAAATAACACAATATGTACGACAAACTTGATCAATCGAAGAGTCAGATTAGGCTAATTCGTCTACTTCCTGGCCATGACTTCGATGAGATACATTGCGAACTTTTCACCGTGTCCTTAGATGAATCAAATGCGTTTGAGGCGCTCTCGTACGTATGGGGAAAGAAGGACAATCCTCTACCGATCATTCTTGGTGGGCAGGAAACCAAAGTCACGAGGAGCTTGGAGTCGGCCCTTCGGCACCTCAGATATGATGAAAAAGAGCGCATACTGTGGGTTGATGCCGTCTGTATAAACCAAGGCGACGATGATGAACGAAGGTCTCAGGTGCAGCTGATGCAACGGGTATATTCGAGTGCTACTCAGGTAGTCGTGTGGCTTGGCCCACTCCAAGAAAAGGATGAGCAAACCATTGAAATGATAGAAAGGCTGGGCAGTGATCGAAGGTTACATTGGAGCGCCATCCCAAATATAGACTTTGAACTTTTGAGGTTGTATCGTTTCCTACGCCATGACTGGTGGTCGCGCATATGGACGGCTCAAGAGGCTGCCCTTGCAAAGCAGATAATATATTATCGAGGGAAGACACGCCTATCCAGCCATGTCTTAACCAACATGGCCATAAGTTACACAGAACACGTCTCGAAAACCCACTGCTGTGACAGCTTGATGGCTCCAAAGAACAGGGTGGTCGTGTCAAGAGACGTCACGACTTTGACAGAAAATATCCTACAACTACGTCAGTTCCAGTTGAGAACTCGAAATTACAACTTCGATGAGGTCGCCTTGATGTTTCGACATAGGCAGGCGACAGACCCTCTTGATAAGGTTTACGGGCTCCTTGGGATATCTTGCGGTATCAAAGAATCCTCAATCGACTATAGAAAGAGCAAGGCTGAGGTGTACGAATTGGCCACACGGGACATTATTTCCCATAATAACAATCTAAATATACTCAGCCATATATTCCATTCGAAACCAGCCAACTCTAAGCGTCCTTCAGTCGCAGATGGATTGGTGAACTGGCCAAAAGATGTACCGTCTTGGGTACCAGACTGGACAATCATAGATAACAAAGCTGGAGGCGACATCGAGCTCATAAGATACAAGGCCCCTCTTTTAGACCATTACAATGCATGTGGTACACTGAGTTACAAGTCTATGGGAGATACGGTAGCCGGCAGGCTGCACGTCAATGGAGTGTGCTGTGACACAATTGAAGAAATCAGCAATAAATCTTATGAACAATACCTTACTCCCGATGTGGATATCATACAAGACTGGCGTAGGATGGCAGGAATGGAGAAAGATCCAGGAAAGGGTTACGTCGGAGGAGACACGGTGTCCGAGGCATTTTGGCGAACTTTGTGTCTGGATATCCGCGCACGCACTATCCTAGGCGAAGGGAAAGTCCGGCTCATCAGGCGAGCTGGTGATAGAGAACGTGCCGTACATCTCGCGTACTGGTATGTTGCTCTAAAAGCCTTATCTAGTCCTCGACTTTTTTCTTGCACACATAAAAACTAACATTAACCACTGTTGGTCGAAAACAAGTAATTAATACTGACCTCCCATTCATACAGGTACACGAGGCTTGCCGGCCGTACAGTTCTGCGTGTTTCAAGAGAAGAGGCTGGCTTCATGAAGAGGGTGACTGAATTTGACAATCATATATTAAAAACGACGGTGCGGCGGAGATTTGTCATTTCGCGGAAAGGGTACATGGGATTGGCACCTTCTGGAGTCGAAATTGGCGATCACATATGCATTCTTGCCGGTGGTAAGGTGCCTTTCATTGTTCGAGCTGTGCAACATAATGATAGCCAGGCTACCTCGCGGTTCGTGTGCCGCCTACTTGGAGATTCGTATATTCACGGACTTATGGATGGTGAAGCCATGAAGTTGGTGGATGATGGCGTATTGAAAGTAGAAGACTTCGAGCTGATATAATAAGCTTAGCTGACATTCCATCGTGAAGAGCACCTTTACGAGCTCTTGCTGTCTTTTAGCGTTAGTTAGGAAATTGGAATGTCTCAGCTTCACTTGTTCCGGGAATTCTGGAATACCATTGACTTCGAGAGTAGTCAACTGTTTGTATGGAACCAGTCGGTGATGCTGCGGAAGGAGATGGTGACTTCATCGCCAATACCGTCCGCGCCTAGGAGCCGGCGGGTCTCAGAAGGTATCTATAAACACTTTATCGGAAGCAGTGTTCCAGTGGTGCTTGAGGGGCCGATTTCCTCGAGCTCTATACTTGGTGGCTACTAGGTAACATTGTCCGGGCTTTGCAAACACTGCCTAGGTCTCTCAAACCAAATTAGACGAAGATCACCAAGGAAAGGACCCAGGAAGATCGTTAATCCAATTGTTTCGGGACTATCAAACAAGCCATATCGTAAGCTTAGACGCCCGACTTCTTCCTGACGCGCTGAAAGAGCGAGATAATGTTTTGGAACGCTTCAAGTTGGTGTGAGAGTCTTTGGTGACTACGCAGGGCTAGGGCAATCCAAGGTTGATATGCCCTCATGACATTAGCTGTGACAGCGACGAGGTCAAGGTAGGTTGTCATAAGGCGGTAGCAGGGTTTACGACCAGGTGGCATTTCAAGTTAGAAGATATACCTAGGTATGTCCCGTCGGAATCTCAGGGTATTTGGCTTTAACGAAAATTTTGGATAGTCGATTGACTAACGATAAATTCCAGCAATTCATCTCCAGCTCTTCCATAAACTCACCCACCGATGTGCTGCTCTAATGCCTTCTGCGGAATAGCCCATCGAGCACCGCGAGAGACTTGATCTTCCAAACGGGTACTGGAGCTTGGCAGTGAACTCCCAGGGTTATTCAGGTATTGCTCTTTGGCAATAGAGATAACTGGCATGTTCTCTCCGAGGTCCTCAACAATATTCACTGCCGGTCCCCCAACGCGGAACGTCTGTTTGGGCCACGTTTTAACCCAGGACCGCGCTTCATGACTAAAACATACATAGGATTGTACGTGGAACCTGTCAGTCGCATGCTTTTTTATAATTGCAGCCCGGATATTGTGCTTGTTGACAGCAGGCGTACTCCCGGGATAATAACCTACGAAAAAGCCTATGAGCACAGCAAACGATTCCCCCTGGATGCTAGTGATGCTCTCCTCGACCTCCCACCACGACTTGTCAACAGCTTGGAAATATTCTGGCTTGGCAAAGTCGGAATACGGTTTGGTAGGACTCGATAGAAGAGGCCGAATAGAGATGGCCTTTGGAGAGAATATGAAATATCCTTCTTCGTCCATCGAACCCTTGGGCAGCTGATCGAGGGCTTTTGCAATGGGATACTCGTTGTCCATCATCGATGACACTTCCTGCACCCCTTTGGCGTCCCTTACTTTTACGAATGCCTTCCCAGATACGGAAGTACGAGGAAACAAGGGAAAGGTCGAGATTTGTTGTGATGGCTGCACGCGGATAGCAGCGGCAAGCCAAGTTGCTCGCCCTCCTTTAGCCATTATCTCCCGCGCAAGCGCTATCGTAGCTTTAACGCGGTCATTCTTATTAAACTTTGATGTATCTAGCGTAACTCCAAAGAGGCCCATGATGCTGAAGACCATGTCGACCGGCCGAGAGGAAGTGCGCATAAGCGCGCTCTGCCAGATCGAATGGTCTTTCTCATCCTGGTCGAGCTCTGGTGACATGATACGGGCTAGGGCGCCGACGTTGGGAGAAAGGACCCTGCGAGTTTCGTTCCAGAACGGGAAGTCCTTGTAGGATCTGTCGGCGGCGTGCGAGCTGAACAGTTTGACTTCTAGCGGCAGGCGTGTCTCGCCTTTTTCGATAGAAAGAGTTCCGGTAGTGCAAGCATCGACGATGAGCGATAGAGATGTGGTCGCGGACCTAGACGGGGTAGGGCCATTCGGAACCGCATCAATATTCCCTTGCGTATCGCCTGCGTAGGCCCTACGCGAGCCGAGTTTCCAAGAGAATAAGACGAGGACGACTGGAGGCGCCACCGCTTCCTGCAACGTCCAACCACGATGGATCCATTGGGTCACTTCGTCGAGTCGGACAAGGAACTGAAGACCCCCGGGCACGACGATGCATATCTGACAACGACGATAGATATCATGCATTCGAGGTATTTGCCACTTCTTATCATCTTCGCTCATTTGCAGAACACAGAGACGATCGAGCCAGAGATATTTGATCTCTCGGGCAGCGCACACCATGCATGTGTCGTGTAGCACTTTGTCTCCAATAGGATCACCTTCGTCTTCTTTTTTCCGGGCGGGGACGTTGAAAGTTGGATCTGCAAAGTCCGCATCGGGGATGTTGCCTTTCCAGACATAGGATAAAGTCGCATAGGGAACTTCTGGGAAATCATTGAATTCGAGAATGGTCAACTGCTTGTGCTGGGTGAAGTCGTCACAGCTAAGGAGGCGGTACCGGTAGGGGGTAGCCCATTCTGTAATATCCAAGGATTTGGTTTCTAAGATGGTCCCCAGAGGAATATTGCATATGATATGCTTAGTCATGATATGTGGTCAAGCTTGATATGTCTACAACTTGTGCCGATGTTGCGTTGTTCTTTGAGACTTCTATTTTTTCGTTTCATACCTGTCATATTTGATGCCTAATAAAAAGTACACTTATCAGGCAACATACAGACAGTGGTCAAATAGAAGAATAGAACGAAAGCCAATCAAGAGCTAAGTCTAGAGCTGAGCTGAAAAGGTGCCTACGCCTATGCAACGTCATATATTACCTCTGATGCATCCTACGATCTCCGGTAATAGCGCCGACGTCTGTGAATCCGCATACGTCTGGCGGTGATTCAGCTAGGTAGAGACTGACTTTCATCTATACCAAATCATGTGCAAACGAGGCAGCACCTACTCATTCACGAGGGCTTCATTGTTACCTGCAACAACATGCTGAGATGATTCCCATAGCCTAGCAGCACTGACGATGCATGCAAACGCAATCCTCCACGCCTCTACCGTTGCCGATGACCTCTAATATCGTTCCAGCAGTGTTTACAGGCGGTTTAATAATGATACAGCGCCAACGCGATGCCGTACGACACCGCCGATGATTGATCTTGTCCTGCGATCGACTTCCATTCGAATCGGATCGTATTAACTCAAGTCCCATTGGCGACGACATGCTTGGATGCCCTAGGGAAATTGCTGCATATGAAAGGATGCCCTATCGCTGTCCCAAGCAACAGCACCAATGCCCCTAAGCCATTCGAACGCTTCCGCGGGAAATCCGACTTGGTAGAACAACTAATTTATATAGAACTGGATCCTGAGAAGTTTCGATTCATGACGGTATCGTCCTTGTCCCATTCTGACTTCAGCAAAATCGCGTTCGATAATGCACCTCATAGCTTCTTGTATGAGCGTATACATGGCTCAAGCATGTGAATTGCCGCAGCATTGGTCACATTGCCAAAACCTTGCTTGCGTGTCATTACAGTCCCATATATCGGTGTCCTAGATGTTGCCGGCGAGCACATTTGATTCAACGGCTTCTTCAAGAGCTTAAGTCGACGGTCATCTCGTGTTGCCTGTATGAAACTAGGCATAGAAGCTGAATTGCTACCTACCTTTGGTCTCCAAACATGATCCTCCCTGAGCTATGTCGATGAAGACTTAGCTACGTAGGGGACATATCCTTCCTTAAGTTGTCGGCCATATTTAGATCGCGTCTTAGCTCAACGTCTGCGGTACAAATCCGTTCGGATCATCAACGTTAATGCATTCGGGACGAGATCGACTGCTGCAGCCTCTTACAGATAGGACGATCCTGCGTCCGTTACATCGCAGAATCAATAGTACCACCGTATCCGACGTGCTCCTGAAACAATATGCAACTTGCTTCGTCCGCTTGGAGTATGGAAAAGCGAAATCGGGACAGGATTCTCTGTTTAATATGAAAGGCGCAAGGCCAGCTTTACCATAGAGAACGCTCACGCGTGCGCCTTATACTTTGTATAGGGGTTTGGCCTTGTGCGCCTTCCAGTTTCTTAGAAGGCGCACGGGGTAATTTTGCTGTACTAGTCGTGCGCCGCCGGATTTGTATGCTAGATGTCTTTGTGCGCCTTTCATAGTCTTTTGAGCGTTGTGACAACTATACGATCTGCATGAGCTGCCAGTTTGCCAAATAATCTATCAAGCAATTGCCTATCTGGAAAGCAATATCTTACATTATGTTCACTGTTATCAGCTTCATAAAACGAATCTGGAGTTATGGCTTTTAGACCTTCATCAATCTAGTGCGCCCTCAATTTTGTGTAGGATCTTAACTCGTGGGCCCCTCATGGTTTTTTAGGCATTGCGATGACTACATCGCCTGCACGAAGCTGCGAATTTGCGAAACGGTTCATTGAGTAATTCCCTATCTAAAACGCAATATTATATAGAATGTTGGCTACTATCAGCTTCGTAAAATGAATGTGAAGTCTGCGCAATTTGAACACCCATATATTTCGTGCGTCTTTGGTTTTGTATGGAATTCTAGCTCGTGCGCCTTTCAATCTTTCCAAGGCGCACGGGGTAGCTTTGCCATATTGTTCTAAAGGCGCACGCCTCACATATGCCCCTTTATGTGATAGATCCCCTCATACACCCCTATAATTCTCCCAATCATTGCAGAAATTGTACATCATGCTTGAAGGTGCGAATCTACCAAATAGCCCATTAAGTAATTCTTCATTTGACGAGTAATAGTTTATAAACATTAATGAATCTGGTGTGCCGTTGATTCTGCATGGAATCTTGGCTTGTGCGCCTTTCATTTTCTTCAGAGGCTCACGGGGTAGTTTTCCATACTAATCTAAAGGCGCACACTTAAATCCCTTGTCCGCCCCCTATTTCTTCCAACCATTGCGACGACTGCACATATTGCATGGAGCTATGAATCTGCCAAATAGCTTATCAAGTAATTCCACGTTCAGAACGTTCAGAAAGCAATGTTTTATAAGATGCCAATTACTGTCGACTTTAAAAGGCTCAATTCAATTTATGCATACTTTGAACCTGTACCAAACTGGTGCGCCTTTGGTTTTGTATGGAATCGTAGCTCGTGCGCCTTTGAGGAAAATAAAAGGCGCACGGGTAGTTTTGCCATACTAATCTCGAGGCTCGCGATTCGATTTTCGTGCGCCCCTATAATCATTGCGACGACTGCACATTTTCCATGGAGCTGCGAATCTTCAAAATAGCTTATTGAGCAATCCCCTATTTGAAAAGGAATGTTTCATGAGATGTCAGCAGTCGTCGGCTTTGTAGAGCGCATTTCAATTCATCGTCTCTTGAATCTGTACCAAACTGGTGTACCCCTCATTTTGTATGGGCCTTCAGGTTGGTGGATGGTGCGCCTTCCATACCCCTCAAAGGCGCACGAACAATTCTATCATACTAATCCGGCGGCGCACGCGTTTGCCCCTCATCTTATGCTTGATGCGCTTCTATGGGTTTTTTGCCATTGCAATAGCTACTTAATTCGCATATAGGTTTCAATAAGATGTTTTATTAAGTAATGTTCCATCCAACGAACAGCATCGTATAGAATGCCAATTATTCTAATCTCTCGGATCGCGTTTCAATTCTCATGGATTGCAAGTCGTGTCGAATTCGTGCGCTTTTTGCTATATATGGGGGTTAGGTCGGTGCGCCTTCTATATTCCCTAAAGGCGCACGAACAGTTCTACCGTATCAATCCGGCGGCGCACGCATATCCCCCTTATTCTATATAGTGAATCGTTGGGTGCGCCCCTTATGGTTTCTTCACCATTGCAACAACAATTGAATTCAAAGTTCCCGTCCCGTTCAAGATGTCAATTGTTCTAAGCTCTTGAATCGTGTTTCAGTTCTCATAGGTTGTATGCTGTGTCGATTGGTGCGCCCCTTATTTTGTATGTGATCTTAGGTACGTGCGCCTTCTAATCATCTAAAGGCGCACGAACAAGTTTGCCATACATTCGCCATACTAATCCAAAGGCTCACACGCGTTTGTATGGTGAATCGTCTCCTTATGGTTTTTGCCATTGCGACAACGACTTAATTGACAGAGCCTTCAATCTATAAAACCGTTTACCAAGTAATGCTCTATCTATCGCATATGCCAATCGCTCTAAGCCCTACGAAGCTACCAAATTGGTCAGATCGGTGTGCCTCTTATTTTATATGGGATATGATCATGTGCGCCTTTCTAATCATCCAAAGGCGCACGCAGAGGTTTACCATACTAATCTTGCGGCGCACGCGTACGCCTCAGGTTTTGTATGGGATTTGGTATCGTGCGCCTTATGCCAAATTTCCCTAATTGATAGAAGGCGCACGATCAAGTTTGCCATACTAATCCGAGGGCGCACGCGTACACTTCTTATTCTATACGGGATATGGCCTCGTGCGCCTTCTACATGAACCAGCGCCGGCGCGGCCGATACGCCCCTAGAACCCGCATGCAAGCTCACCTATGTTTATCCAACGTCATGTTCGTGTCCTTTCCAAGCTTAAAATATCAGATCTGGGAGGATTCGCACATCAAGGCGGTTTATGGCGGGGCTGTGACGATGTTTCTCCAGGTGCTGTGCATCTCATCTCTAACATCGCGCCGGGAATGCGACATTGCCGAAGCAGCGATGCAATCGACACCATGAGGCAATGGAGTGACCTAGAATTGGCGCATCCGGGTTGCATCAAGCTCATGGCGAGATTGAGAGTGGCGCTTGCGTGCCGCATTCTATCGTTGACCGGAAGAGCCGCGAAGATGCCCAGGCTCGTAAACTTTCGTCTCCTACATTAAGACCCTATTGCCTTCGAAAACGATCTGCAACCTCGTCACCGGACAAGCTGGACAGCTAGAATTGTGAAAACGATGGATCGAGAACAGCAAGCGATATGTACTTGACGAGACGAGTCTCCGACGACCTGCGAGAGTTGGCGACCGCTTTAGCAAGTGTAGTGTTGTAATAGGAGACATCGTAATCGACTAGACCACGATGGAATGGTATTGCGCTAGATCGTTCGTTCTCTCGTGAAGTTGTTGTATGTTCAATGCCAATCCGTGATTATGTCGATGCAGACTGGGAATAGTAGAATAGCATCTTGGCCATCTATTCGCGATACCAAGTTGAATCGCATTAGCGAGCTAAGGAGAGATATCATCTATGAGACTTCATCTCTGCAACAGTTTAAGCAGGTCAGCTCTAGGGATCCTTAGCCTTGCATGTGACCTGTCGATCCATTCTGACTACATAGTTAATGCGTGCTGAATGATACGATAGGAGGCGAGAATAAATCAACCACGAATTACGTATCGAGGTCGTTGAGCTTGCGGGGCATGCTTCGGAGACGATACAGTTGGATCTAGTGCATGTTCTCCGTGACTCTATGGTACTCATCGAACAGGGAGGTCAACCAGAGGCGATGGAGACCGTGTAGCGTACGGCGGATCGTTTAACGAGTCACAAGTCCTCAATACTAATATCACAGCCATTCCATGTGACTGTGTGGAGTGGTCAATGTGAGGTCAAAGGAACTTCAGTCGATGGAAACTCACTGCGAGACATTCTCTGTGCTAATCGATATTCTATCCTCTGGAAAGACGGACCTAAAGATTAAACTGAGGCGATAGGCTATAATATGACGGCATGTCTTTCATCGACTTAGACGTATAAATGTTTCTCGGTGATGCAAGAATACGCGTATCTCCATTTACGTTGTTTGGACACGAATAAGG